GCATCTTCAATCACCCGTCTTGCGATAAAGATCGCGTCAGCTGTTCCTCGTCCAGATCTGAAGCCAAATTGTGTTCGCCATATTCGGTCTTCCGCTCCTGCGTCTTTCAGCCTTTGTAGCATGACCATGGCAAATACTTTATTTCCGATTGGAAGAAGGCTGATGGGTTTGTAATTGTCGCATGCCGAAGGGTCGCCCTTCTTATATATCATCTGAACTCTGGATTTGCGCCACGCGTCTGGCACGCAAGTTTGCGACCACACAGAATTACAGAATCTGGCTATCCACGAAGACGCGGTTTCCCCGTCTTCGGTCGCAGCTGTCCAGAACTCTGGCGGTACCTGATCTAATCCTGAAGCGCGCCCATTCTTGAGTTTCTTCGCGGCTTCCCTAATCTCTGACTCCAGGATGGGACCCTGCCTCATGGGCAGTTCCGGGCCGATGTTCTCGCACTCGGGGAGAATGGTGGTCGGTCGCACTGCCCATTGAATGCGTTCCAGGTGTTCTGCCAAAGTGTCTGCACGCCTGTCGCTGTCTACGAGTTCCCCACAGCTGTCTCGGAGTCTGCCAGGTTGTCGGACCCGCCCTTTCTTCATTTTCCGAATCTGCGCCCAATTGCCGTCTTTTGTAAATTGCTGGAGCCAGTGCGCACGATCGCGTGCGACTAATGCCTTGATCTGCTTCGCAATGGTTTTCTCTTCCAGCGGATCTCCCTGCCGTCTTGCTTCACGTCTACGGGCTACAAGATTAAGAGTACAGCTGCTTGTCCAAGGGCGCGTAGGGCGACGGCACTTCTTGGTCAGCGTCGTCTGCTCCGCCTGGCGAAAGCCGTCGACCATCCGGGACCAAGCTACGTTTACATCTCCATGGTCAGGTGCTGCTTCGTATTGCTCCTGCGCATGGCTGAAGCACTGCGCGAAGGAACGCCTGGTGCAGGGCTCCATCAGCATCCGCAGGTCGGGATTGATTTTCTGTTCGGCTGCGCATTTTTCCATTTCCATGTGAAGCACCGCATGCAGCAAGAAATGATGAGATGATCATGGGGCGTGCGTGAAGGACCGCACGGCTCTTACATTATGTAACCAACTCTGCTCGCATACTAGAAAGTCAATTCTGCGAGTGCGCGTGTGGGTTCACAGCCTCCCCAGCGACGCGTCCGACATTATATCATGTGGCCAAACCAAACTTTCAAGCGGGAGCTCGAAGAACGTGTTGGCCAAACACATGTCGAATTGAGTGCACGCCTCCACTGGCAAGTACCGGCTTGCATCCGGCTTGCAGTCGGATCCCGGGGAGGCAAACACGTGCGGCCCGACCACGAGCGACTCTCCGACGGACTGCTCGTACAGTCTCGCGTTCATGCCACCCATGATCAGCTTAGGCCCATGCGCAGATAGCTTGCGAACAAGATCAGATAATTCATTGAAGAAACTTTGTCTCTTGAGGAAATATTTGCCACTGTGCGGAGCGTATGCGGACACCACTGCCGCTTTACCTCCAACAATTCGTAGTTTCAGCGATGCAAGCCTGGACGTCGCCTGGCGGAAAGCAACAACAGATCTGCGCACCGACGGTGCGACTATGAAGCCAACGCCGGCACGATCTTCTGGATCATCTGGCCGGTCTTCGGCGCCCCCTGACAGCACGACCAAGTACCCCGTGTCCGTGACGAAGGTGTCAGATAATGTTTGCCATGCCTCCTGAATGCATAAAACACCGATGCCCTCTCTTTCCATGGTTTGTTCAAGTTCCACTTGCTTTGCAATAGTGTAGCCTTCAATGTTCCACGAACCAATCGTGAATTCAGTGCTGCAGGGAAGCAAACGACCACCCCGGGCAACTGCAAGCGACGTCTTGGCTAAGCCAGTCGGCACAGAACCAGTTGCAGTAGTATGAAGAGCTGCTCCGAGATCCGGACAAACGGTCGGGTCCTTGAAGCTGTGCTGTGAAACGCCTCTGCTTGCGCCCCGCTGGCACCCCTACTTGCCATGTTGTCCACGGCCCTTCCCTTTTTGTTTTCCCTTTGCCCCCATCTTTCCGCTACCCTTGGAGGCGCCATTTTCGACCTTGCCGCTCAGCCTGGACACGAGATCCGGAAAGCCAGGGTAGGCCGGGTCGTTCAGCCAAGAGTCCCAGCCATGGCCGTGCGTCACCTGAAGCTTGCCTCCGTCGATCGTCGCGTGGGAGACCATCTCCGTGCCCAGCCACACCTTGCCGTCCTCGGGGTCTGCCCACACCGCCTTCGCCTCGTACCCCCATTCTTTCATCAGGTACTCCAGGCCGAATGCGAATGAAGAGAGGACACGCTTCTGTAGGGGCTGGTCCGCTTTCGCCCAAACCTTGTTCCCCCCTTCCCGGATAGAAGCTTTGCGAAATAGGCCTACCACCGTGTCCCGATCCCCGCCGTCGGGAAATTTAGCAAAGAGCAGTCCACGAAACTCCCCCTTCACGTACACCTCCTTGGGCTGCGGCCCATACAAATCCCAGAGGTTATTCCTCAACCACTCCTTCGCCTCCTCCAGGCTCCCGAACGACTGTAAACCTCCTATCACGACTGTCCTCTCCATGTCTGGGTCTGGGGGGTTGTGGTGGGTGGTGATCTTGAGGGTCGATACCTCCATTTCTAAGGCTTTGATGTGGTCCCAAACCTCCGTGTTAACGCTTCCGGGAGAAGCCGGCGTACCTGCGTCACCAAACGCGTTCTCCAGGTTTGTGAGGCGAATGTCGAAGTTCTCAATCTTGTCTTCCACGTCGCTGAACTTGCCGTCGATCTTCTCGTTCATCTCATCGAGGCGCTTGCCGAAGCTCGCCAATGTGGTGCGGATCGGCTGGACCTCCTGGCGGATGATAGCGGCGATCTCGTGAAGTGTTGGGGACTGAAGTTGTGCTGCTGCTGGTTCCGGTGCGCCGCCACTGCGTGCATCAGGAGGCGTGTCTGGGGCCCGGGCTGCCGGTGAAGAAATCTGATGCACTTCTGGTCCATGGGAGCCGAGGGTGTCGAAGTCGTCCATCTCGTGGAGCGGGCTGAAGAGACGCTGCCGGACGTCGCGCCCAAGAACTTCACGAACTGGCGTTCCTGGGGCTCTCGTGCCCGTGCCGGCCATCGCAAGGTATGGGAAAGGGACAGGATAGGGTGTCGTGGTAGTATGGCAGGAGAGTTCTAGCCCTTGAGGAAAGAAAAAAGCGCAGGGTGTGCCACGCTCCATTTAGGGATCGCCTTCGCATCGATAACCCTGGAAGGTGGCAACCTGGAAGGTGGCAATCTGGGAGGCGGCAATCTGGCAGGTGGCGTTGATCACCTGGGCGCCCTGGTGATGGTGGCAACGAGGCAGGAAGGATGATGCTGGGTGGTCAGCCGATGTTGGTGTGTGTGTGTGTGTGTTGCCGAGGTGCCACTTTTGCTCTACTCATCGGCAACACCCCAACATACTTATACTATATGTGCGTCGTCCCCCCAGGGGCGACGCGCGCACCGAGAAATCTTATAGTATATGCGTCGTGGCGGGCGCTTTCTGGCCACACCGCTCGGGAAACGATATACTACAAGATGGGTATACTATATGTTCGGGTCGGACGCGCGCCTCCAAGGAGGACATATAGTATTAGTATGTCCATATGCGTCCCATACTCATGCGGCGCAGAGGGTGTACTTTCCCAGGTCGAGGCGTGGGGCCGTCGCAGATGCCGCGCGGGGACAGCCACGACGCGAGTCGCCGTCGTCGTCGTCGTCGTCTTCGTCCTCCTCCCTCTTCCCTCCTCCCTCCTCCTCCTCCTCCTCCTCCCTCCTCCTCCTCCTCCTCCTCCTCCTCCTCCTCCTCCTCCTCCCCATCCTCCTCCTCCTCCTCCTCCTCCTCCTCCTCCTCCTCCTCCTCCTCAGTCAGCCCGGATTAGTAGGTCGACCCTGCCAGCTCCAGGATACCCTCGTGTCCAGTGCCTCGCGACACGCGCCTCCTTACACTCCTATGGCGACGTGGCCCTCGGAGGGGTCTTGTGTCCTCTCTCGCGTGTCCTGTCCAGTCCAGGCCGACGGTGTGTTCTGGTCGCAGCGGCATGGCGGAACACAGACTGCCATCCGCCAACGACAGGACGATTGCGCAACCTCTAGTTCGCAAAGATGCAGTCGATGACCCACCACTTTCCCACAACCCTTTGGACGCCCGAAATGGGTAAGGAAACAATTGGTACAATGCCCAACAACAAACGTTGTCCCAAACCAACAGCGGCCGCTGTTGGGCAGGCGGCCTTCTGTCTCGAATGGACACAGGCTGCGGCGGCGCGGACAGCGACTCCTGTTCAGAATGAAATGGAACTGCTGTTGGGCATTGTGCCCAGTCTTTCGGTACCCACTTCCTTCGTGCCGAAGCTCGCCATGTCGTCGTCGACCTGGCAGCACCTGACTCTTGCCGGACCATGCCCAGCCCCCAGGGTCGAGCACGAGGATGCAGGGACCAACAGCAGCGCAGAAAATCGTTGCAGCCAACGTCCAGAGAGAAGAGCTCCGAGTACTCTTTTTTCGTGCGCTTGCCGAACCATGTCTACAGTGGGGGCGCGCATCAAGAAGCCATATGCTTTTCGTCGGGGTATCTCAGGTTTCTCCGCTCCTCGCGCTGCGCGGTGACTTCCCGCAGCCGTTGAAGGAGCTGCTGCGTTCAGGGTGCTCCAGGTTTCCCCTTAGGTGCACCCCGCGCACGGGTTCTCAGGGTTGGGTTTCTTGCGAGGGTTTCTTGCGGCCGCGCCCGCACTGTATGTTCCTGCACCGTCTCTGCTTCTTGATTCTTGGTCTCTCGGCGTACGAACTCTTTATTCCTGTAATGGCCTTGCCTCCCGACTTTGGGACAACTGCTCGCATGGCCGTCTTGGATGGCCAAGATGGGCCGCGATCAGCAGAGTAAACACTCACGAAAGTTTACCATGGCATCCGGATCCGAATCGTTCGCGCTGCAAAGACCTCTTGTCTTGGGCGGCAGAACATACTCTGGGTCGATCCTACGGTGCCCGAGGATCAACGTAACTTCGGAGAGCTACCGCGACGCGGCTGCCCGCGGTGCGTTGCTGTTCTTCCTGATGATGGACCTTGGGAAGATGCACTCTTTCTACAAGGAGTACTGGGAGAGGGGGCGGGCAGGGAAAACGAAGGGCGACGGGAGAGTTGCACGAGTCAAGGCAGGCAAAACATGAGAAGAAAGCGCATGAGGAAGACAGGGGCACAACGAATCAGGAAGATGATGGGTGGGAGGGTGACCGAGACAGAGACAGAGACAGAGGAAGACGACGGCGGCGAGGAGGAAGAGAGGGATATCAGCAGGAGCGTGAGTGCTGCAATGGCCGGTGGGTATGCGTGCGTGCGGAGGAGAAGGAGGAGCGGACAGGAGAGCCGTCCTCACTCTTCCTCGTCAATGCGAACATGTGTCAATCAATCGGCCGTGCGTCAGTGTAGACAACCATCACGGTGCAGGTAGGGCGGCGTTGGACCTGAACCTCCCCCGTCACGTTTCCGCTGAAAAGTGCCGCCCCCCTTCCCCCGCAAAGTATTCCCTCGACGCCTTCGTGATGGTTGTGAGCCGCGCGGTGCACAGCGTGAAGATCAAGAAGCCAGATGTGCCCCCGCCGAAGACCGTGCAGTTGGAAGATCTGGACCCTGACCTGAAGGCGTCCAACGAGGAGGAGCTCGAGCTGAACCGCAACTCTCACCCTCGACGCTCTTTCCCCGCGGTGTAGGCCGCCTCCACGAGGGGCCGCTCGTGTCCCTGATTCGTGCCCGTCGCCTCTGCGTTCAGAGTCGGTCGCGAGGGCTGGTCCCGAGTCATGTGCGAGAAGGTTTTCGTGCCGCGCGCTTCCTCCCTTGCCCCCCTCTCCCACGCTCAAGTCCCTCCTCCCTTCACCCGTGTCTGCCGACTGGGTACCCGTGCATCGCGATTCTCGCACCGCGCCAGGGCAGCACATAGCGCTACAGATTGTCTCGCGAGGGCCATGGCGTCCTCGTCGTTCCCTGGTTGGCTTCACGGGGCCCTCTCCGTCCTTTCCGTTTCCTGTGCCCACGGCTTGCAGGTCCCGAGGGGAGGGGCTGTCACCACTCACCAAACCACCCTAACCCAACCCGAAGGCCTCAATTTGCTCTCCATTTCCAGTGGGGGGGGCTCGGGGAACAATGAAACATGATCGACCCACGAACCCGGAAAGGAATATAGAAATGTAAGGCATTGCAACGTTTCAAAGACATCTGATTGGGCGACGGACACATTCAATGCGGAATGTGTCGATCTTGATGTACTGTGCCGACGGCTGTGCTGTGCTGTGCCGTGCTGAACTGCGATGTGCCATGCCGCGATTGTGCTCTATATAGCGTTGTGAATCGAGTCCTCTCTGGCATCCGAGTCCTCAGCGAACTGATCTGGATCGTAAGTTCGAGCTGCTTGAGCAGATGGTAGCTGCCCCAGAACTAATCGACAGGGGGAACATTCCAGGAGGACGCGCCGCGGAACGTCCCAAGGGACGCGCCAGGCGACGTGCCAGGGGACGTGCCATGGGCACGCACCGCAGGACGTGCCAAGGGGACGCGCTACGGAACGTGCCAATGGACGTGCCGAGGGACGTGCCGGGGGACGCGCCGCGCGACGTGCCAGGTGGACTCGCCACGGAACGCGCCAAGGAACGTGCCAAGGTGCATAGTTGAGTGTATCGATCTTGATGTACCGTGCCGACGGCTGTGCTGTGCTGGGCCGTGCTGAACTGCGATGTGCCATGCCGCGATTGTGCTCTATATAGCGTTGTGGATCGAGTCCTCCCTGGCATCCGAGTCCTCACGAACTGATCTGGATCGTAAGCTCGAGCTGCCTGAGCAGATGGTAGCTGCCCCAGAACTAATCGACAGAGGGAACATGCCAAGAGGACGCGCCGCGGAACGTCCCAAGGGACGCGCCAGGCGACGTGCCAGGGGACGTGCCATGGGCACGCACCGCGGGACGTGCCAAGGGGACGCGCTACGGAACGTGCCAATGGACGTGCGCGCGCGACGTGCCAGGTGGACTCGCCACGGAACGCGCCAAGGAACGTGCCAAGGTGCAATGTTCAGTGTGTCGATATTGATGTACCGTGCCGACGGCTGTGCTGTGCTGGGCCGTGCTGAACTGCGATGTGCCATGCCGCGATTGTGCTCTATATAGCGTTGTGGATCGAGTCCTCCCTGGCATCCGAGTCCTCAGCGACTGATCTGGATCGTAAGCTCGAGCTGCCTGAGCAGATGGTAGCTGCCCCAGAACTAATCGACAGAGGGAACATGCCAAGAGGACGCGCCGCGGAATGTCCCAAGGGACGCGCCAGGCGACGTGCCAGGGGACGTGCCATGGGCACGCACCGCGGGACGTGCCAAGGGGACGCGCTACGGAACGTGCCAATGGACGTGCACCGCGCGACGTGCCAGGGGGACTCGCCACGGGACGCTCCGCGGAACGTGCCAGGCAACATGCCAGGCTGCAATGCTAAGGGTATCGATATTGATGTACCGTGCCGAGGGCTGTGCTGTGCCTGGGCGACCTGGACACGTGAAAACACGCGTTTCGCTCAAGACGTTGTCAGCACATCCTCATGCTAGACATCCGCCTGGGCAACCTGGACACGTGCAAACAAGCGTCTCGCTCGAGACATCTCAGCTCACATCCGCCTGGGCGACCTGGACACGTGAAAACAAGCCTCTGGTTCGAGACATCCTCAACAAATCCTCATGCTAGACATCTGTCTGGGCCACCTGGAGGCGTGAAACCAAGCGTCTCGCTCGAGACATCCTCAAGACCTGGGCACGTGAAACCAAGCATTTCACTTGAGAGATCCTCTAAATTCTGGCCCCCAGGAGAGGACAATCTATAACACAACACAAGCGTTTCGTTCGAGACATCCTCAACATTCTGAAACACAAGCGTTTCGCTAGGGACATCCTGAAATTTTAATTCGCCAGCAACTCGTTATTTATCGCAAGAGAAATCCGCAGGCCTTTCCGTCAAAACCAGGGGGAAACCTACTAAAAGAGAACCCTGGGCCTGAAGCCCGTTCCGGGAAAAACACATGGACCCCGTACCCTCCCAACCCGAAATTCGACTCAAATTCGTGTCTTCGGGTTCGGTTGGGGTGTTCTGGTAGGTAGGCAGGGAGGAGGAGCGAACAGCGAGCAGCGAGCAGGAGGAGCAAGCGGCAGCATTTATGGAGCAGGGCAGGGAGGGCAGGCCCGGACAGGGGGCGACGGGGGTTGGAGGAGGGCGGGGGCCGGGGGGGGACTCGTGGCGTGGACAGGGACAGCACTGTGCACGGCAATGTGCAGTGAGTGCCGGGGAGGAGGGCGGGGACCGGGGGGGGGGGACTCGTGGCGTGGAAAGGGACAGCACTGTGGACGGCAATGGGCAGTGCGTACCGGGGAGGAGGGCGGAGGAGGCTTTGCAGGACGAGCTGGACGAGGAGCAGGAGGAGGAGGAGGAGGGGGAGGAGGAGGGGGAGGAGGAGAGGAGGAGGAGGAGGGGAGGAGGAGGAGGGGGAGGAGGAGGAGGAGGAGAGGAGGAGGAGGAGGAGGAGGAGGACGAGGAGGAGGAGGGGGAGGAGGAGGAGGAGGAGGGAGAGGAGAAGCATCGTGAGCAGCACGGGCTGGCAATTGGTCTGGAGCAGAGGCAGCAGCAGAGCGGGCGGCAGCAGCAGTGGCTCTCCGGCAGGGTGGCAGTGCCGCGCGGCGGGGGGGGGGGGAGGGGCAATCTGGGCCTCCCAGGCGGGGTCCGCGTAGAAGGGGTCGAGGAGGAGGAGGAGGTGGAGGAAGAGCGGGAGGAACAGGAGGAGGAGGAGGGGGAGGAGGAGGGGGAGGAGGGGGAGGAGGAGGAGAAGCAGGAGGAGGAGGAGGAGGGATGATCGTGCGCACCGCCGGTGCATCGGCGATGCGGCCCGCTGTGGAGCCCGGCCTCCTCCACGCCGACGCTGCTGATGCATCGCCGATGCACTCGGCGATGCCTCGGCGATGCCTCGGCGATGCCCTCGCGAGGCGGCGCGCGGCCCTCCGGCCCCCCCTCCCGGGAGGAGTCCAGAGAGGGCGTGGGAGTGGGAGTTGGAGCAGGCGGATGCGCTCGCTCGGGGTCAGAGCAGCGGGCTCCGCCCGAGCCCCGCCCGCGGGGCCTCCTGCGGCCCTCTGGGCCCTGCCTCGTCCGCCGCGGCCGCCGCACGCTGTGACTACCTCTCCTCTGCTCTCCCCGGACCCCGTCCAGAAGAGGTTCGCCCAGCTCCGTGTTTCTTTGCATGCAGGATCTCAGACCTTGATGTGCCTCGTGTTCTGGTCAATATCCCACCAGTCGGGGTGATTCGAACTAGTGCTCCCGCTGCTGCGCGGGCCACTTCTCTGGGTGCGAGTCCGTTTTTTCCGCCTAAGCCGCCCTCCTTTCCCATTTTCCGCCTTCCCCTGGTCCTCCCGCTACTCCCGCTGCTTCCACTCCAGCTCCTGCTGCCGAGGCTTGTCCTCGCGCTCCTCCCTCCTCATCCCTTCGCCTTCTCCTCCTGCTCGGGCGCCACCTCCTCCACCATCGTGCGCAGCCCCCTTCGTTTCCGATTGCGCGTCCCACGATGGGGTCTTCTCTGGGGCTCCAGCTCCTCGGTGACGCGCGTCGGCGGATAGAAAGAACGCAATGAGAAGGCACGGGTGGGAGGTTCGGGGTGCCAGCTATGGAGCGAGCGCCCACTTCCTCGACCACGGGAAGGCGGAGGATGGGGAATGAGGGGGGCGACAACGATCGAAAAGGGTTCGGATCCAGAAGCATGGACCGCACTGGGGCGAGAGCGCCACTCTGCACGATGGGATCAAAGCGCCGCTCCGGAAATGAGGACCACGCAGCAGCGGGAGCACTACTTTTCAGGAGGGGGAAAAACACACAGACACAATTCATCGGCGATTCCCAGAACTATGTGGAAAATGTGGGAAGTGGGGGGGAAGACAGAAACCCAGAAAATATAGGAAAAAGATGGGGGATCTGTTTATTTGTATTCATTGGTGTGTCCCGGGGCCCCGTCATACCTCTGAGACGCTGGAGCCCCTCGGAGCGTTGCGCCGCGAGCCAGCGTGGGCCCCCCACAGTGTGTGTGTGTGGTTCTAGCAGTGTAGGTGCTGCGGCCTGTGTGCAGAAAACTACGTGGTGCAGGCTCGATGAAGCTCGTGGCTGGACAGAACCCCCAACAGTGACACGTCGATTAGTGAATTGTCCGTTTCTGGTTCTTGAGAGGGCGCCGTGGCCGCTATTTTCCAGGCTTGCGCCCGCCAGGTTTGGGCCTCAGGTCGTTTTCACTAAACCACGTTTTGCTAAAGGGGGGTCTGTCAATCCCCGAGAAGCAGCATACAGCATGGGAGGCCTGGAAATGGGCACCAACACCAACACAGGGGGTTGCCTCCACATGGGGAAGATGATCCTAGATTTCGGTGTTGGTGGCAATATTTCGGCCACCTTGGAAGCCAGAATTTTTCCACCATCACCGAGAGCGGGATCATCTTCCCTCGGTGGAAGCACACCGCCGATTTTGGTGTTGGTGTCAACCTCTAGGCCTGCCACAGTAGGGGTCTTGAAGAAGGAACCCTTTTCGTTGGGGAGGGGCTCCGCGTCCCTGAAGTGTTTCGCAGCCTGCCGTGGGTTTCCCTCAGGTTTTCGATCTGAAATCGAAGTTCAACTTATGGGAAAAAGGGGCCTCGTTCCTTATTTTGGGATCCTTAGGTCAAGGCCCCGACTGTACCTGTGTGGTGCAGCCAATGCTGTCCACCATAGGTGGTGCAATAGATGTTGTGGGACACATGTGTAGCAAGATCTG